ATTAGTTATTCACAGGGGAAGGACACAAAACTTCTCTCTCCTTGCTGTTACAATCCAGTAAAGACAGGTTATGTTTAGCTGTACTTACCTTTTAGAAGACATCTGCTGACTCTGGAAAAAGCCAGGGAAAGCACCAGGAAGCAATGGAAGGAGGTTGGCAGGAGCAGGAAGCAGCCAGCAACTAAAACTGGTTAAGAAGCAGCCATGGGTGCAGCAGGAGAAAATCATCCTTAGAAAGTAGTGAGGAGACCAAGAGAAAAGCAAAGAGCAGGAGTATGGACCAATAACCACTGCAGACCCACTAAGATCTCTGAAGGCATGCAGTCATTATGTTAGTCCTGGCACAGGCAGGCAGAGCAGCTAATGCTGCCTTCTTACTGCCAGCCTTGTTGAAGCTGCTGCCACCTGAACTATCAATCCCCTCCAACACCTGTCAATCCCCACAATGCTAATTCTTTGTTTTAAAAAAAATATCTACCACAGGATATTACAAGGTCAAAATAGTTAAGATTTCTTTCACAGGCTTGCAAATGCTTATCAGTATTGAGGGTGACTGAACTTCAAATTTAATTATGTTGACTTAATGTCAATGCAAGCAAGTAGAAATTTCAGAGATTCACAGAACAGTCTAGTTTGGAAAGGATCTTTAGACACCAGCTGGCTCAAATTTTACAAAAACCAGAGCCAGCTTCCCAGTTGTATCATGTTCCTTATACACCATCCAGCCAAGTTCTGAGTCTCCCCAAACATGGAGACTCCAGAACCTCTGTGGCTACCCTGTTTCAACCCCAAGCACTCTCACAATGAAATGGCCACAGCAGCTTCCACAGGATGAGTTGACTAAAATGAGGCTTCTTCAATGAAACTGAAATTTTGACAGCACTTGACACTTATACTATAAATACTGTTAAAGAGCTTTCTTTCAAAAAGAAAGTTTCTCACTTTTTAAAAACCAGAGTATGATATTTTTCCATTATAACAACCAGATTTTTTAAGCTCATCACCTATGTAGCACAACAGCTGCAAGATCTGGCATCAATTTTTGAAATCACAATAGTGATCAAGAAAGTAAAGGAAGAGTAAAGAAGGCATGGTAGGGTTTTTGTAGACAGCTAGGGCACTGCAAGTTCAAAGTGATCTCAGTAACATCATACATTAAGCATTCTGTTACTGCTGACCCCACTATGGTTTGTATTTTTGAGTAGATAAAACCCTTTCTATTTGCCAAGGAGTTTCAGAGTGAAGACAGTATCTACTTTGAGAAAAAAAGAATACCATTTTGTTTCTGTCAAACATAATAAATATAACAAAGGGAAAGACCAAATAAAAGCTTACTATTCACAATTGTTTAAAATTACGTTTGTCAACCAGTGATACTAGGAAGGCACCTCAACACTTTTGTCATTGCACATACAACAGGGAAACAACCGCAACAGAGCACAGGGCCAGGAGCTGGCATTTACATCCCACAACAGTCCCATCTATACTGGACACTTCTAAACCGGGCCAACAAGAGTGCAAAACAGCAGAAAGAAGAGGTGTTATCTAGTACCTTCCAGTCATCTAGCAATGTATCCTGCAGCCACTCCGCTGGCGAAATAACAAACACGATCCTTAGTCTGTGACGAGGATCATATATAATGAAGCAAAGGTGAAATGCATCCTCCATTCAGTATGAGCAGCTTTCCTTTTTTCAGTAAACTCAAAGGCGTTTAGAGACCTCATCTGCCTCCCATCTCTGACCCCCATGACTGCTAAATATCAAAATGGCAGAGGCTCTAAAGTGACACAGACCGGTGAAGAACACGGATGTTATGAGAATGTCTGGAAAGCACATTCTACATGCTTCACCATAATCTTTCCTATATTTTGCATATCTGTTAACCTAAAAATATATACCTATCCTACAGAAGGGATTACATCAAATGTCCTGGGATAATGACTTTTGCTGCTCTGTACAATTAAATGGCCTTTTCTTTCAGCAAGCTTCAAATTTTTAAGGGGAACTGCACAGGAACAACAAATTCAGTCTCTAAGACACCCTACTAATGCCCTGCGACCATGGTTTGTTCCCCTCCAACCACCCTGCAAATTCCCAGCTTGCTTCTGAGTGGGACATGCACTCCATCCAAACTAAACATCAAACATCTATGCTATGACAATGAGAATTCATTTTTTTCCCTTTCCGAAAACAGCATGTCACAATGGGATCTGAAAAACTGCCTCTGGTTTGCAGATATCACACTATTTCTGATCTGCTAATAAAATGGATACAGCAAGCAATGACTCGCTCTCTGGCACTATATCTGATTTGTGCAACTCCTTCACACATCACTCCTCTGCTGGAAAACAATGCTCCATGTGATGGGAGTCCCAAAGAAGAACTGCCCTCCTAAGCCAAAAACCTGACAGGAGGAATAGAATTACCTCTGTCAAAATCACCTCTTGCCCAATCTAATGTGAAGCATACAGGACATCCTGTACTCCCAGAAGCCACTGCTTACCCTGCAGCTTGCAGGGAACTGCTGACACCCCTTGCCATAAAGGGTTTCACTTTTCCCTGCTTCCTTTAATAATTACTGTAAGTTCTTGAAAAATCAGCACCTCAGCCTACTAACCTGAGACAATGACACTTGCTCCAGTGGGGTCTCTCATTCTGCTTGCAGTTTAGGGTAGTAATAAAATCATTAAACAGCAATACAAGAATCCATCAAATACCTGGTCCTGAAACAACCCAACATCTAAAGCCAGAATTTATACCACATGGCAATTTTTCATCTGAAAAAAAGACCATTATATGCTAAAAGGAAAAGCATGGGGATATTTAGGCTGTATTACTCACCAAAGCCTGCACTCAGACACCTGATAAAGCTACCCTACAGATCTGGAGAAATGCACAGAACCTTCTCCAGCTTCAGAGCCAGCAGACAGTCACTGCTATCCCATCATCTGCTTTCAGCAGATGAACATACCAAAACTATTAGGGACATAACTATTTATACAGTGTAGTCACCTCTGAGCTAAGCATAATGTCTGTTGCTACTTGTCTGGTGCCCAAAAGCAAAACTATGAACCTGATTTCCTATTCATTCGCAGATGCTTCCATTTCTGGTGAACAAGGTTGATACTGTCTTGATTATTGACTTCAATCACATCTTCTTTCTGGAGATGAAGTTGCATATTTCAAATGCCACTCAAAAACAGTTATTTATTTGGACACAAATAATAACAGGTAGTTATTTAGTAAAATGCTTGAAAAACAATGTATTTAAGTCGCTCAACTTCCATTGTAAGAAAGATGACTGCTCTGACTGAAAATAGTTGAACAGTTCAAAATATTTTAACATTAGGCATTTTTATGGTTTGAAGTATTTTTTCAAGCATGTGATTGTTTAAGCCTGTTTGATCAATGCTTTTCATTAAAAGACCATAATTCAATTCAATTAATTAGTAATTATTTAAATGGGATTAATAAATTAAATACTATCATTTTAAAAACATTAAGATCACAGCTTATGCCAGGTTTGTCAACAGTAAAATGATTTCATTCTTTGGCCTTTCTGTACAAGCAAGGATCTTCTTGTTCTCCTGAGTTACACACAATCTCTATATATTACTGAATATACTACTTTAATCTTTAGCCAGCTTTTTCCATGTCTAAAGACAAAGCATGCAGTAATGCAAATATGAAAGGAGTAACTGCATCAATTCAAAGGTGACACTAACATAATGAAAACAAAAAAAGACAATAAAAAGCTATTTATTGCTTTATTAAGCTGTTCTTTTAAAAGCTTCCCAACAAAATTCCTCTACAACGGTCTGAAACTGCATATCTGCACTAGATCAAACAAATCCATCTGACATACTTTTAATGGCCTGCAAAACAGAGCAGCATCACTTGACAAACACACACATGCATTGTCCTTTTATTAATTAATGCAAGGCACTGCCCCCTTTAGAATCACCTTTCTATCTGGCAAGCATATTCACCTGTATTACTGGCATGTGCATAAATTATTAAAAATGAATGAAACTTCATTTTCCCTTTATCTGTATTTGTTTTCTTTTTTCTATCTATACACAAGAAATCAATTACACCAGCTCCCTTCTTCTTTCTTCCATATGTTCAATCACTGTATCTGTCAGGAGTAGTTAGAGAAGCGAAAAAGCAATCTGCATAGAGAAAAACACTTTGCCTAGAGTCTTCACTTGCCTAGCAATGCCATCTTTGCTTAGCCAAGCTTTCACTGAATCAACAGACAAATACTGTTTCTTGTTGCTGGTTTTTTTTTGGAGTTTGTTTTACAAGTGTTAAATGCAATACAGTAATTGTAGTAAAAGAGAAGGACTATGTCACTCTTTCATAGTTCATCACACCATGCCACACAGAACCAATGTGCCACCACATCGAGTTTTGTAAGATGTCACATCTCTGCTCCTGGGGTCAATAACATTTCCTATGTACTTGACTTCTGTACAGTTCTGGAAACTCCTGAATTTTGGAGAAGCTACAAAGGCAGCCAAAACCCACTTACTGTGACTGTAGCAGGAGTACATGTTTTGGGACAAAGGACAAAAGCTTCCCATAATTCTCTACCTGCAATCACACACCCTATTGAATTTTATTACAGCACAAGTCTGTGCAAAAGAAATTTTGATTTGCAAGTAAAAATAATCAAATAAAATATTAAAGACTGATACTGGATCTTTCCCTTCCACTAACTTTACATTACACTGTACAAACTTTACTTTCATTTTATTTACTTTAAAATAATTTAAAACTTTAAATTAAAAGCTTTGTTTTTATTAATTTACTTTTGTTTTATTTACGAAATGTAAATTACTAACTTTACATTTTCATTGTGCAAAAATACAATGTTGCTAGGGAGAGGATTCTCCATAACCCTGTCACTGCAAAGAGAGGAACATATGTCAACAGCAGGCATAAGCAGTGTTGGCCATCACCTTCAGCTGTGATCACCGCTCTCTCAGCACTTTACCTGGTGGTGTACTAGCTGCTGCCATGGCTGTACCTGTCGAGTGCACTGGGCTGCTGCTTCCCAGCGAGAGGCAAGGGCTGCCACCACTGTTCTTAACAAACATCTCAGCAACAGTGGGCAGGGGCATTGGGTGGCTGATTCCCAGTTCCTCTTCCTGAGCTTGCTGTCTTCTTAGGGCAACCTAGGAACAAAAGACAAGATAAGAGGTACGTTCTGCGATTTTGAGCACAATCTATACTGGTAGCAATGAACAACTCAGATTCAAAGCTGGTTTTTCACTACTCATACTAGAGAGTACTGCTGATCATAGAATCACTAAGGCTGGAAAAGACATCCAAGACCACTGAGTCCACTTGTCAACCAAACACCATTAAATGTCAGCTAAACTATAACACTAACTATCAGATCCAGTTGTTTCTTGAACACCTCCAGGGATGGTTTCTGGTTTCAGTACTTGACAATTATTTCCATTCTTCCTGATGTCACCCTGAATGTCCCCTGGCCCAGCTTGAGCCGATTTCCTCTCATCCTTTCACTACTGGCTGCCTGCAAGAAGAGGCTGATCCACAACCTCCTTTCAAGCAGCTGCAGAAGGTTCCTTACGAGCAGTCTTTTCTCTAGGTTAAACAAAGCCAGATCACTCAGCCACTCCTCATCTGGCTTACTCTTTAGGCCCTTCACACAATACAGCCAATGGGCAGAGAAGCATAAAAAGCAAAAACCAACCCCTTTTTGTGTCCAAGCACATATGAATAAGCCGATGAAATGCTGGTGACATATACATCTTCTTCCACTGAGGCCAGATGAACACGTGCTACAGCTGACTACACTCCCCCAGCACAGCTGCTCTTGGGACAAGCACACTGTATAAAGTGTACTCACTACCCTCCTCTCTGCTCACATAACAGCTGCTGAGGTTAAGAAGTTAGTCTGCTTGCAGGATTCTGCTGCGCCTCTTATCAATATAAAGCAGTTTTTCATGAAGGTTTGTACCTGTGATCTGCTGCTCAATCCAGGCCTGCTAGGTTCCCTGCTGGCTCTTTGCCAGAAATGTCCTTCAAGAAAATTTCAGCATAGAAGCATGGCAAATGTAGAGTACCATCATGCAAGCATCTCAGACAGCATCACACACATTGAAGAGAGCCAGGCAAGTCTGGAGAAGCTGGAACTTCCCATTTCTTTCCCAATACTGACAATGTTCCAAAGCCTAACTGGCACTGGCCAAGCCTATAGGCACTACACAGTCTGGACATGGGTGCAAACAAACCATATTCACTGCTTGCAGACAGCCCCTTCTGCCTCATCTGAACTAGTAGATCAATTTAACACATCTGTCCACCCATGCCATTTGTGTCTGGGGAGTATATATGACACTGCTACAGCTACTTACCCTGCTACTTTTAAGGTGACTGACTTGCATCTTTGCTTGAACCTTGGAAATCTCTTCCAGTTTACAGGCTGGGATCATGAGCATTTCTTACTGGAAATTCTCCTGGGTATCTGGGACACGACTTCCCTACATTTTCATGTTCAAAGCTATACTTTTTCCTAATACAGATTTATAATTCTATTAGTTACTATTAGCCCTTTCAAGAAGAAACATCCCATACAGAGGGTGCAGACTTGCAAACACCACTGTAACTTCGACTTCACAAGCCAATAACCTTGACCTGTAAAATTCCACCAGCATCAAGGGGCTTACTACAGAAATATATCAAAAGGGGGAAAGACAGACTTTAAATGTGTAACTCCTACACAGATAAGGTTTAGCTAGGGAGGCTTTCAAACCTACTTTCAAATACTACGCAGGGAAGACAATACCCCCAGGAGGGCCATCACCAGAACCTGATAGCAGGAGACACCAACTGCCTGACTGCACACACCCAGTGCAGATGAGCAGCAAAGGAATCCGTGCCGATGGGGACATTTTGCACGGGAACACTTCACTTTGTACTCCCTTCCCCGACGCATACAGCCAAGCGATTCACGTTTATTTTTCCAAGGTTCACACCAGGCACAGAAAGTGCATGCAACTTGGGCATAACAACAATTTCTGGGCTGCCATACTACCAACAAGGAGGAATTATTTAAATAAACGAAAACTTACTTCCAGTGAGTTCTGAGGACGTTTTATATACCTGCACCGAATAACAAAATTTTTAAAAATGCGGGGATTTAATCTAGGGCTGATTAGGTTTTTAAAACCTGTCAGCCCGACACACATTTTATCCGGGATCACAAAGCTCTTAGCAGACAGCTCAGCAGAATTGCTGAGCAGACAGCAATTGCAAACTGATGGGTGGGTCTGGTATCATAATGATCTACCTCCACTGGCACCACGAGCTTTTAAACCCCCGCCAATTACTTGCTAAGGAGATCATTCGCACTGCCGCGGGGGTAAAATGCCCCTCGCAGAGATCAACTAGTCCAGCAGCCACTTCAGTACACACCCAGGACCCCACTTAATTAAGTTTGCAACATAAAGATCACGAAGGTTTACAGAGCCCTGTATTTGCACCGCCAGAATTGTGACTCCAGCGAGACGACCCAACGAAAACGCTATTCCTACCCTGGAAGCCGTTTGTTTTCTTAGCGCTCAGAACACTAAACCCTCGTTGAGATTTAAGATCACCCATTACACAGCTATGTGAGGAACTGCTACATACAAAACGTCCAACAACAACAACGCCGTTAAAAAAAAAATCCCAAAAAAAAGTTAGAAATGCACTCAGCTGAAACCACCAGCATAAGGAAACTCAGTTTACACCGAGTCTGGAACCACCAGCACAAAATATTCTCGATAAGCAATTTTTTGGCTAGATTATTCATTTTCTAGTTAAAAGCAAGAGGGGAAAAGGCCCTGACGGCAGCTTAGGTCGCTCCGTGCAGGCTCTACAGCCCCCGAGCGCTGTCCACAGGGCCCGGCGGTACCCGGCCCGCGGGAACCGCTCTCGGCCGTGCCCGGCAGGCGCGCTGACCGCCCGCCGCTGCCCCCCGACTGCCACCCTCCGCGCCTCTGAGGCATCTCCCATTTCTTATGGAAAATAAAAATTAAATAACTTGCGAGAAACATAACGAGAAGTTTCACTAACATAGTAAGGCAGCGGTGTAACCCCTGGCTCCTGCCCGGGCCGAGGCTACCCGCGTCCGCGGTCTCGCAGCGCGCCGCATCTCGGCGCGGCCCCGACGGGCCCGAGCCCCGGGCGCGGGGAACACCCCGCTCCATCCCAGCTCACCTGCGCTGCCATGATGCGCTGCCGCTCGGCGATGAGGCTGCACTTGTTGCACAGGCAGTCCCGCCACATGCAGAAGCGCTTGTGCCCCTTCAGCGGCGAAGAGTAGCCGTGGTTGCGGCAGCGGGCACACTTGGGCAGTCGCGGACGCTTCTTCCCCGCTGCGGCGGCGCCACTGTCCGCCGGGGCAGAGACCATGGCGGCCGCCGCCTGCCCGAAGCTGTTCGCCTCGTCCCCTGGGCCCGCGACGTCCGGGGGGTTGCTGATGGCCGGGGTGTCACTGGGCATCGCGGCAGGCTGGGGCAGCCGGCAGAGCAGTCTCCGCGCTCCTGCCCCGTCCCGTCCCGCCACCCCGCGCGTTTTGGCGGGCAGCACCCGGCGGCGTCGCCCCTCCTGCTGCGCCTCCCCCACTCCTGCTGCTGGGGGTCCGCGGCCGCCAAATCCTCGCTCCCTCGAGGGAGCGGCCGCCGTTCCCTCCGCGCTCCTCCCTCCGCGGCCGGCCTGCGGCGGGAAAGGCGGGCCCGTGCGGCGGTCCCGTCGGCGGCACGGCGCGGCGCCGGGCAGGCCTGGCGGCAGCGCGGGGCTCGGCTCGGCCGCGCCGCCCGCAGGTCCCGCACGACGGGATACCCAGCCCGCTCGGGGGCTGCTCCGAGCCAGCCCGCGGCCTCTGCCCGCCCTCCGTGCCCGCGGCGGCCAGCGCAGGCCGTGGCCATGTGCTGATGCTGGACGAGGTCTGCGACAGCAAGGCGGAATCTTTCCGGAGAGGCGATGTTTAAGCGCAGTGGTCCGCTGTGTTGGCCAGGTCAGGTTTGGGCAGGCCTGGCCAAGGGAGTGGTGTGGTGCCCGAACAAAAACACCCCAGTTGCTGCAGCTCAGCTGCTCTGTCGTGGGGCTGCTGCAGTGTTGCTGGACTGCATCCTCCCTGAACGTCTTAACCTTGCCCTCGTATCGTGCACTGTCTATAAAGACACCTTAATCAATATCTGTGTGGGCAGGTGATACCAGGTAAAGGGTGAGTGAGAGCACAGTGAACTCGGTAGCCATCACCTCTGGAGCTGGTGTGGGTGACAGACTGGCTGAACTCTGCAGGAGAAGACAAGCAAAGATGCTTTTTCCTTCTTTCCATAGGCTGCCCTTACAACTTGGCACCATGTGATTTATAAACACATGCAGCTCTACAGATATTATTTACAGTATTAATATTTCCTCTGTTACACCTTTAAATCTTTCTGGGCTCAACTTTAAATGACGCTATCTTCATGCTGAAATGAAACTATTAAATTACATCTCAATCTAAGATGAATGACAACTGTCAAATGAGCGACTCAACAGAGATGAAGCAGAAAGCACCTGAGATTATGTGAGGCTGATTTATAAAGCTTGCATAAAGATTTCTATAACCCTAGCTTCATGACTCAGCATATCAGATGGCAGTAAGTTACAGTAGGTAGAAATTTATTTCTGCTAGAAGAAGCCAAGAAAGACATCTCTCTTTGTGATCAGCTAACTCCAAGCTAATTCTGCTCAGACTGAGCCTCCATGCTGGAAACAGTGAGTGCTTTTCTTAACCTGAAGAAAGCCCCAGATCCTTGCTGCTTGATGCTTTGCATCACCTTTTAATAAATTCCATTTAAAGAACTTGTTCCTTCATGGTACAACATTGGAGACATTTATGGCACATGTCATCCTCCAGAGAGATACCTCATTCAGACACTCCTGTTAAGCACCAGTCGCAAACAGTCAGATGGTCCACAAGTGAAGGCTGAGCACAAGCTGTGTGGGCTTGGTATGACCATCATTCAGCTCACAGAAACTGAAACTTTTCCCTTACATCACTTTTCTGGGGCTGACATTTCTGATGTCAGTATCTGCACATTTTCCCACAAGACAGGAGAAGAAGAACATGATGTTTACATGAACAAAAATAGGATTTGCCTTTTACATGTAGTAGTGCATAACACAAATATTTAAGGAAGTGAACAATGTAAGTATACTTAGCTTTGTATATCAAAATATAAAATTCAACCCTGAATGAAAACAGTTGAGATCTTCTCAAGTCACATGGGCATTGATCAGTTTCCAAAATTTTGTCTAGGAGCAAGCCTTGAATATCCAGTTTGTGGAGTTCAGTGCATGGTGGAGCACACACGGAGAAATGTTTTCAGGTGCTCCCCTACAAATTATCTTAAGCCAATTGAAAATGCAAATTAAAATGTAGATGAAAGGAGGCTAAATCAAAAGACTAAGAAAGGCAAAATAAAATAAAACCCAACAGAGGTAGGAGAAGAAAATCAGAAATGACAGCAGGGGTGAAAAGCAGAAGAGAGAAGGACAGCACATAAAGCAGGCAAAAACAAACAAAGGAAAAATAATAGCAGTCACCAGCTGCTTATATATCTGACTTTTGACTAGAAACTAAGTGGGACAGCCAACCTCAGAGATTAAATACAGGATGTAAAAAATGCAACAGTTCCAATAAGAACATTCATTCATCACTCCTTCACATAATTAGTATTTTCTACTACTGTTTTTTGGGTTAACTGCACAGATCGGTATTATCCACAGAACAGAATCTACCATACAGAACAAAATATTAATGTTGTTAGTACTTACCTGGTGTTTTGTGTTCTGGATGAATATCACCAAAATATCTAGATGCCTTATGAATACAAGTATATGCTCAATCATTTAAAAATTAATTGCTTTAGTTTTGCTAGTTCAAGTCACACTTTGAGTATGGTTTAGAGTGCAATGTTTTTCCCCAATTTTTTTTAAATGGTTGCATAGTGAAGTTGACAGCACACTGCTGGATTTGTCATCTGTGGAGTAATGAAGCAATAGGAGATGGTCATAAACTGCCATTAGTCCTAAGACGAATCACAATAACCTCACTGTAAGTCTTCAGGAAATTTTGTCATTCATTTAATGTATGTCTGGGCATCTCTGGTTCAAGTCTGTCTAGTGATGATGTCAGTGACTTAAGATTACTGCAGTTTGCCATCATCTTTGCAAATAACTGTAATTAATATATCCAATGAGAAAAATAAGAATCAAGAACCTGCATTTTTGCTTTTCCTTTTTTTCTTTTGTCTTAATAGTTGTCTGATAGTTGCCCTTTAGCTTTACCTATTTCTTTAAAGTCCCTAACATCATCTGTTATTGGTGATCTGTCCTTTGCATGCCTTTGGCTTATCCCTTGAACCTGGCAAAAAGATTTTATTTGCTAACAAGATTATCACTTTGAGGGACAGATGTGAGTGAGACCTGATCCTACCACCACATTTGGTATGACTCAGCAAGCCAGTGGCGGACTGACAAATTAAAAAGGGTTTAATTCTAACAGTGTTGTCTGGAAAATGAAGACCTTCACTTTCTCAGAAGTCAGTGGAGTTGAGTACATTTCATTTCAGTAATCTGCTGTACCTGATTCTGTTTAATTTTTGTTTTGTGGGTTTTGGCTTTTTTGTTTGGTTGGTTTTGGTTTGCTTTTTTCTGTCAGTGGATCAAATCAGAGAGTTTTTGAGCTATTTTTGACTCTGACAGATCATTTTATAGACTGTACTCCCCAGGGCTGGTTGTGGGTTCCCCAAAGAGCCTCAGCTCTCAGTGCTGAGGGATAGAAGATAAAGCATGCACACTGCCATTCTGCATTGTCTGAAAACATCGACATATCCATAAACACACTCTGGACATTTTGAACAAAATATCAAAGACAGCCAGAGGGAGTCAAGCAAAGGAGTGAAACCTTGCCAGCACATTCCCTGAGGCACTGATAGGAGCTGGGAAGCTCCTCAGTGTTGAACTTTAGTGCTTGCCTGCAGCTTTGGGTGTCTGGGCTGCCCTAGAATCATCACCTTAACAAAATAAACGGGTATAGAGCTACCCTCCTCTCTACTCGTCCACTCTGTCAGTCTGTACATGCGTGAGTCATCTGGTGGATTTCAGCTGGTTTACTTGTGTGAGTAGTCTCCCATGCAAGCATATTTGCTGGAGTGATGGACATCATCACAACTAAAGCACTTGAAAAGATACTTCAAGAAAAATCCAGTAGGTGGCATAAATAAACCGTGCTTTTTTTTTTTTTTCCCCCCTTTAATTTGTACATCTGTGCCGTTCTCTTTCATTCTTTCTTTATTTTAATTCTCCTTTAACTTACAGAGAAGCTGAAGTTTTGTCCTTTGGCTCTTAAAACACAACCCACCAAACAAAGTTTTGTATTCAAAGTGGAGGATTTTCTTGATGCTTTCTGCTAGTGTATAGTTTTTTGAGTTGTTTTATCCTCTCACTTCTATATTTATGTTTCTAACTGTTTCTGTTTTCAGGTTATGCTACCTGCAGGTCTCAAACTGCCAGCGCCACAACAAAAGAAAAGATTTTCTTATTGAACATATATCTGAACCCAAACCTTGCCTTGAAATGCTCAGTGTTTACAAGATTTTAAGGTTTGCCTTACAGCTGTTCCCTCAGACACTTCTCTGATGATATATGGAGTATTGACACCAGGATCATTACTCTAGATCACTGAAATCTGATGGTTTTTGCTAAAAGTCATTTCAATCAAGCTGAATCTTTGACTCAGACTTAAGATTTTATGTGCTTCAGTCTTCCTTGCTCCAAAGATATTTCTCTGGCATGGGCATTTAGGGATCAGGAGTTTTGGTGTGCTGCTTTGTTCTCTTTTCTTCAAAGTCCTTTTTCCTTCAAGGTTGTTATTTGTCTGGTTGTTTGAGGGTTTGTTTTTTTTGGTTTTTTTTGGTTTTTTTTTTTTGGGGGGGTTTTTTTTTTTTTTTTTTTTTTTTTTTTTTTTTTTTTTGTTTTTTGTTTTTTTTATTTTTTTGGTTTTCCCCTCTGGTGCCCAGGGCTCCACTTTCACTGAGAGAACAACTAAAGCAATTTATAGTGCTGCAACCATTTGGCTATTTGCTGCCTTTCCTCAGTGAGAGTAAGGACAGTACTTGGGGTGGTGGCCCACAGCTTGCCAACAGTGAAAAAGCTGCTGTGCCCATCTCTGCTTACAAAGATCGCTAGTTGTACACTCTTCAGCACCCTCAGTTCATATTCTTTTCTCTTGGTACAAATCCGTAATCACTGGGAAGATAAGGTGTCAGGGGGCCCTGCTACAAAGAGTGCAAGAAGGAATGTTGGCAAGGGGCAGGGAACAGCATCACACATATCCCTAGGTGGAGAACAGGCTGGCCATAGCAGGTGACATGCCTTAATGACCTCTGAAGCAGCATGTTTATTCATACTCTGCTGATTGTTATTCTCCCAGTAAGCATAGGGAAAGAAAACCTTTT